GCTCTTGTTTGGCCAACAGCCAACGGTTGGCGGCTAGAACTAATGCATCTTCGGTAGAGTGCATTTTCCTGTAGGCAAACTGACTGCTAGGTAATATGCTATGTTGCGTGAGGTATGCTGTGAGTTGCTTCACTTGAAGGCGGCCAGTTTGGCGATGCCTCGGATACCCGCATGGAGGGAATTCCAAAGAACTGCACCAGCATGTGTCACCAATTTGGTAGAATGTGCAGAAGCAGCGGCAGGGACGATGCAGGTTACTGTTGCCTCCTCGAGTTCTTCGTGACGAAAGAGGTCGAAAACAAGTTTCAAACAATCTACTAGGGGTCAAAGGGGTGTACCGGGTACCCGGGTATCTGCCCGTTAATCTCAGGTACCGTTAGTAAAAGGGTACCCGTTTGGATTTCGATGATCCAGTCAGTACAGAATCACACTACTGGGATCGCGCATTCCAGGCGGGAGTCAATTATTTACACCCCCCCCCCCCCCCACGCTGGGTGTCTGCATTGTTGTTGCATTTTTTGCACCTAGTAGATCTACCTCTGCAACTATCAGACACAAATCACTTCGCGAATCATAATGTGATATCAAAATGCAACCGAAAACAGATAAATTAAAATCAGGATTTAAGTGAAGATTGCGCAAAAATTAAACATGGCTGCTAAAGGGTACCCGTTAAGGTGGCTCACACCCTCTGCGCGCGCATCGTTTGAAAAGTGTAGATTTTCAGTAAATTTTTCGGTAGCGATGATTTTTGTGCGATCAATCGTTGTAGGAAACGTCTTCTCGCTTTTCTGCAATTCTGGCGACCTAGCTAGAACCTGCTGCTAGTGTCCCTCTTCACTCGTTCTTTCTATGAAAGGGGAAGGCAGCACTCGCAGAAGATTTTCCAAGAATGCAATGTCGACTGGTGCTCGTACTATAAGAAGGGAGAAATCAAAGTCCGCTCTTGAATCACGCCTGAGTCTTAGAAAATTATTTCAGAATACACTTGTGTAGATTTCCTGCCAGTGCCACTGACATCTCCGCGGCGACCTTCAATTATAACTTGCTCGATCATCTCCCGCACTGACTGGTAAATTCGTCGGGTAGCTGTGGATGGATCGATTCAGGGAGATCGAAGGTAAATACATCGAAGCACTTCAAACACGTTTCAAGACGCACTTCAAATTTTGTAATTGTGTCTTGAAAATTGTTTACAACAATTCGTACTTCAATACGCTGTTGAATTGTATCCTCTGCTTGGGAGTCTCGACTGTTTTATTGCTGCATGGCTTTCCTCAACACCGTTCACTGTACATGTATCGCGGAATGCAGATTGGATGGCATTGGAGGTGAATTTGATAATTTGTGACTGTGTCATCAACCAAGTCAGGACATCAAAATGGGACGCTCCGAAAATCACAAACGCTGCGAAATAGGTATGAAATGGTCTTACACACTGGTGGGTATTCCACATTCATTGTGTCATATCTTCAGACTGTCCGAAAGTTTGTCGTGCCGTGCAACTTTCACTGACTAATCCGATAATTGGCATGTGGCCCTATCGGCACACACTCATGCGTATGCCGCTGAGTCTATCTATATGTGCACGCACATGTGTGTATACTTACACAATTTTATTACGTATGAAAAATTAGGCAATCTACATGTACATATATATAATTATACTCAATCTGCGGACAGCATGCTGTTTCGTTCTTTGTGAACTCATCAGCGCAGCACAGAGGAAATGAGGCCGAGCCTGATAGCAATGAAAATAAAAATTTCCAATCAGGCCCGAACGTACCTTGCCATATATAATTATATGTGTGTGCGCTCACTCCTATGACATAGAACGACAGTGCAGGCTATGTAAAGTCGCACGAATGTGTGTTACCCGGGTGTGTACAAGCATGCGCACTCGCGCGGGCGTTTTGTGTGCGCGCCTGGCATGGCATAACGCCGTTCAATATGACTAGTGTTGAACCGTGGTAATTTGCCCCACCCCTTCTTTTTTCTATTGGCGTTGGATATGCAACTAATGACATAAACTCGGTTGTTGAAAACGAGTGCCATGCACCACAATGGATTGACAATAATATAATACAAGTAGCGCTGTAAAAGCGCTGGTAATACTCATGTTGCAGCCATGGCAGTTGTGATTAGCTTTCCAAGTCAAGCCTGCTGCAGAAATTATTGCACTCTGACCAGCTGGAGTGGCCCAGGACTGCAGGTTGTGGAGAATAGGAGTGATGCTTGTATATACGCTTGTATTTACATGATGGACTTCGAAGTAACGTTAGGTGTATTACTTGTATGTTCTTCTGCCTGTGCACGTGTACATGTGCTGGTCAGTGTGGAACCGCCATCCATATCAGATCATACAGCTCAGCTGCTATCAGTCTCAACAGCCTATATCTGGCAAATAGGGTTTTAGTGGCATTGCACACAGCTACTTTATGTAATAGTAGTATCTTGGAAATTTTATATTTTTGATTGTTAGCTTCAGTAGAAACTTCTCCAGTGTGGCTCTTAGCTTCATTTCCACGGAGACTAAGCATTCAAGTAATGCACGAAGAACAGTGGCTAGATGCGAAGTGAAAAGCCATTGGACCGTACCCAATGGAATACGCATTTAGTATAGCAGTATTGCTTGCTATGTTGGCAGCAAACACTGTATAATAATAATTGCATTACCAGTAGAAAGTGCCCAATGTGCATTGCTTCAGCACTGTGTTTTGGACAAAGCAGTCAAAAAATTACACATCAGTATTGGCTTCATGTTGGAGAAAGTTGTGCAAAACACTAGAGCATACATGTACACTCAATACACATGCTCAGCTACATGTATGGCATTTAGTATGTGGGCGACTTCGGTTCTATTTTGGTAGTTAGCTTCGGTAGAAACTGTCTAAACTTGATCCAAAGCTCTACTACTATGTTCTGAAGATGTTGCAATCAAGTAATGTAAGACACGTATCTGCCGCATTGGAGCTAGTTGTGAAAACCTTTAGACCACACACACAATGCACATGCTCAGCTATGGCATTTAGTATGTGGGCGACTTCAAAGTTTTATTTCGGTAGTTAGCTTCGGTGGAAACTGCTAAAACTTGATCCAAAGCTCTACAACTATGTTCGGAAGATGTTGCAATCAATTATTGCAAGATACGTATCTGTCATATGGTGGAGTCAGGGGTTCTAAGGCGTTGGACAATATCCCAGTGCAATGTGCTGATTCTTGAAAATATGGCATCACTTGACACTTCAAAGTTTTATTTCAAGAGTTACCTTCGGTAGAACCTGCTCAAACTTGCTACACAGTACCATTATTAGGTTATGATAGCATAACCATCGAATACAGGGCAAGTCCAGTGTCAAATACTTGTGGGCGGGGCTAATATGTGGGACGTGTGCGCTGAAATGGGATGATTCCGAAAAGAGAAAAAGGTCACCTTCTAGCAGAATTCTACCCACTTCTTAAGCTTATGCTGGTATTTAGCAAGTATACTACTGTCCTGATGGTGGACATCAAGAAAAATGGGGTAACTACGAGTGCTACGGCCAAAAAAGTGGTTTTCCGGTGTTTTTGGCCTAAATTGGCAATTGTGAGTATGCTATGTTTGGCCCCTCCCCCGAGTGAAACCGGCCGGTAGAACTTGATAAAAGTTTGTCTCCGTACACTAGATATCCTACGGAACAAAGTACAATCGTTTGTAGCCACGTTTCAAACAAAAAAAATTGGACCCGAGGGGTAGGAGCCACCTTAACCCGCTCGTCAAGAAAATAATTACTCGTTCGTTAGTTAAAGGTTAAAGGTACACCCGTTTGACCCCTACAATCTACTTCCTGAAGAATTTAGACAACGCCATATAAAGCAGAGCAAGTTAAAGGGAAACTGAACGCCAAAAATAAGTATGGCTTATCCGAAGGAGAATTGGGCACTGATTCCGATGAGCTATGTCTCGAGCCGATCAGAGAAGAGGAACCGTGTCAAATTTCATAAATAACACCTTCCATATTTGGAAATTGGGCTTGATGACGTGCGTACTGCTTAGCTGTCACCATGCTGTGCATGCTCAGCAGTGTAATTGAATGGAAGAAAACAATTACTTTGGTGTTTTGCAGCTCTATTTCGTTCCCTGACGGTAACCAAATCTAGATGTAGGAATCTGTTGAGCAGGAGAGTGACACATGTCTTCCCGAAGGCTGTCGAGGCTGCAGTGGTGATGAAGAAGACACGATCATCACCCCGAGATCGATTGTAGCGAATTGGAAAACTCATGGTGAATTTGCTTCCACTCCAAGGCAATGTCGAGGTATGAAGGGTGCTTGCTTGTACTGCCTTCCAAAGTGAAGAGGAGATGAACATGGCTGTGCATAGCTGTTGTTCTATGCCAACTTACCTACTCTTGCTGGTACCGTAGTGCATAATTGAAAATTTCGTGGACGAACAAACTCGAGTCACTAGTGGCTAGTGAGCAACACTAACAGGTGAGATTTTTCAATTTGACAAAAATTGTTTGAGAACTGACAGTGGCAGTCATTTGACTCAGTAGGTGTCTCTCTGCTGCTTCTTTCCCTTCATTGGTAGGGTTGTGCATGAATAGTACAAGTGCTTGAAGTAAAATAAAATAAATAGAACATGTGGAACATAAATCTAATCAAGCATCAGTACATGTATTGCGAATTCAACTTCAAAGCACATGAAATCACAATGATCACTAAGTTTATGGAATCAGGAGGATCGCTAGGACACCCTAGAGCCCTGTGTTCAACGAACACATACACACATGCTATATTGCGCACACACATGTACACATGTGCGTGCACTCCCACAGACACATGCATGCAGCGCGCACATCCATACACATGTGCGTGTACCCCCCCCCCCCCCACACACACACACTCCTACCCATACACATGTGTGCGTGTACCCCCCCCCCCCCCCCCCACACACACACACGTATGCACAGACGGATACACAAACACACACGCACGAACACACACACAAGATACGTGTAAGTGTACATGGTCTTCCTGGTGCAGATGCTGGGCCAGCACAATGGAAAATACCTTCATCAAGAAGCTTGATCAAGTGTTGTGATAATGGCACTGTTTGTTTGTTTTTACAAGGAAGTGTGGGAAGGATTACAATGCGTTATAATTCATAATTGTTCTTTGCCGGCTTGTACTGTGCAGACCAGAATGCTTCGCTATCAACTCCTGGCTTTCCATCGGCATGGTGTTCAGCTGCAGCGGCATCTGGTCCGGGAGTTCAAGTTGCTGGATGGCTGCACTGACACAGGATGGGTTTGCGTTGGTAATGCGATACGGCAGTCATCCCACATCATGAGCTACATGTTTATGTAATTTATATTGTCGCTCGTCCAGCAACGTCAAGGCTCTGCATGTAAACACAGGAGAACACCATAATATAAAATACTACTCAGGGGATAATATTATATTTTTGGATTATCAATTTCGTGACATTTATGAGCTCCTGTCTAAACCATGCCGTGATATTGATTGCTATCTGCTCACAAAGTACCTTGTATTGTAACAATACTCTGCCTAATTACTACCCTTCGCCAATTATTAGATTCACACAATATTCACAACGTATGCAACACGATGCTGTCTATTGACACTACTCGTACTCTTCTCCCGTTTTCATCTCCCTCTACCTTATGAATACTCTACATTACTGGTTTCGTTTCTACCCTTTCCATTGCTGCCAGCTCCCAATCTTTTTCAATGCACAGCACCACCTTGAAATTTTTGTGATTTGATGTACACATACTTTGAAGTTGAAATTCGAATTACATGATCAGATTTTTGTTCCATATTTTCTATTTATTTTTACTTCAAGCACAACCCTACCGATGAAGGGAAAGAAGCAGCAGAGAGACACCTACTGAGTCAAATGACTGCCACTGTCAGTTCTCAAACAAAAACAATTTTTGTCAAATATGAATTGAAATATCTCACCTGCTAGTGTTGCTTACACGGCTGTTACGCGCGTGCCACCTAACAATATGGCGCCATCTAAGCTGGTTTTCAGCGAGGTTTTGTAAATCCGCTCGAACATGTTTTGACACGATTAGATTTACAAAGTATATGGGTGAAACCGTGGTATTCAGGCATCACTTCGATTTACAACGCCAGGCACACTAAAATAATCCACTTTACTAATCACTATAATCACGATAAAATAATTGTTTCACAAAGTATTCTACTTGTTCTCACCTGGTGGTGCATTACTCCTCTAGTGCTAGTGCTTTTCTCTTCCTGGTACTGCGTTGGGGACGAAGATTACTCATTTCCATAACGCAGGAGAGCAGATGCTGATCAGCGATGGTCTTCAGACGCTGACTCGCGACGGGGATATTTTTGAAGTCCTTCTCGTAATTGTTCAACGCAGAATGGATACTTTCTGCTCCGTGTTCCCCAAGCAAGCCAATGCCGACACCGAGACGACGCATCATGGGCAACGTATGGTGCTCAAGCAGGTGCAGCTTCGGCGTTACATGCGCCAAGCCTCGGGCCACGATCTCGGTCCTGCAAGCAGCAAGGAACGTTTTGATGCAAGCCTCCAGTTTGGTGAGAGCATCGTCGTCGACTGCCGATGACTTGCTGAAAATGCTGCTGCAATCAGCATACATGGTGATCAATTTGCCATAGCGCTCTGCGATGGCTTGTGCGTCTGCAAGCAGACTGGGCTGTCTGGCTGAGATGATGGCCACAGGAGCTTGTGTAATGGCAGTTACAACAGCGGGTCTCATGGCGACACGGATGTGATTGCCATTGAACGCTCCACCATGATACACCTGACGCTGGATTTTGTTGGCCTGCAGAACAGGATCCAAAGACTGCTGGCAAGGACCATGCATGTCTTTACAGCCGCTCAGCTTTTCTATATCAGATGTTAGGCGAGCCACCTCTACACGCTTCTTGTCTCGCTTGGCCGTTATCAGCGTGAAACCAACTTGAAACTGCTCAACAAGTGCTTGCCATCGACCGTCATTGTCATCGACCTGCTGATTCTGCACCGAGATCGTCAGGAATTGAAGTTGGTGCTGGTACATGGTGCATTCTTGCTCGGTCTCGTCAAGGCTCGTGCTTGCCGTCTGCAGCTCCTGGTGAAGTGTGGTTAGCCGAGTGAACCCGTCACCATCGCTAGATGCTGGGGCACAGTGCGCCGCTAGCTTCAGATCGAGCTGGTGCAGTTCCTTTTCCAAGAGCTCATATATCCACACAAATATGCCGAGGTCCAAGTGGAGGGCTGGTATTACAGCGTCGGCTACTGGGATTGGCAGGATAGTGGGCCGAATGACATTATTGAATAGCTTCGCCCTGCTGAGGCGAGAGCCATCAGTGGTGTAGCGCTGGTGATCCGCTGCCAATGTTTCCAGGGACCTAGCTGTTGTCTCATCCTCTGGTCCACTGCTGGGATCTAGGTCCATCGAGCGCTTCATACAGTGGCAATGGATGCAAGGTCGAACACCACTGGGGCCAGACAGACCGAAAACATGGCATTGGAATTCGTAGTCTCCAAAAAGGAACACTCGCAGCTTCTTCCCCTTCCACTGCGTTGCCATCAGGTCACGGACTTGTTGTTGGTACATACTGAGAGCACTGTAGAGGTTTCCCGGCGTGTCTTTCTCATCGAATATGCAAATCGGTATGGTGTTCTTGACAGTGTTCGGATGCAGTACGTTTGCCACCTGTGCAGTAGAAGAAGAAGACACTGTGCGTTAGAAGGTATGATTATTATCTCGTGCATGCCCAATTTTCGATAAGCATTCATCTCATTTGTCACTAATTCAATGCACTAATCTAGCTGCACTTCTTAGTATAGTCTATAGCAAGCAGCGCTGCAGCATATACACGTCTAGCAAGTTTATCTTTTATTATCACCCGCTTACCTGGAAGCTCAACTTGAACGTTCCACCACCATGATCACCACCGATCTTGATCCAGACTTCTGACTGGGGAATGCTGCTTGACCATGTCAGGGCTTCAGCACCATGCAGCTTGTCAAGAAAATATAGAACTATAGCGATTAAATCTGGAAAGTATACCATGGCTGCCATTCTGAGCTCACCGTTTCGCCTCATCATTGGTATGTTCTGCAGTGTATATGCTGGCATCTGCGTGGCGATGAATGCGCGCATCTTCCTTTCTGACTCCAGCTGTACGCCAAGTGACCGCAGCCATGTCCTCAGCATCCTGAATTTGCTGTAGGACAGAGATAGGTCTGCCTTTATAGCCAGCGCTGTTCCCGACGTTGGCATTGTCGGATGCAAGCCGATGTCGTGTAGGAGCTGCTCTTGCTCCGGTGTGGAGAGGCGCTTTATTCCAGCCACCTCTTGTGCCCGTATACCAGCAGAATCTCCACAGACAGTCTCGTTGACGGTGCTCAATTGCAGGGAGCGTCTGCGGATTGTTCGTGATGATGCCTCTTCGGATGATGTGGTTGCGGCAGTGACACGCTGGTAGATCTGAGGTCTTCCCCGACAGCTAGGCTTGACTTCAAGCTGGCCACTTTCAGCCTTGGCGGTCACCAGCTTACTTGTTAATCGGTCTGCAACATCGCCACGCATTTTCGACGGTGACGCTTGTAGCACATCACTCACAGAGGATGTGACGCTGACTGTACGTATTGGCTGACTATGTCTGCTGGATGATGCTGCCGGACTAAATGCGCAGGCATCCACATGCTTCTGTAACTGGTGTAGGGGAACAGTGGCAGGACAACCTGCCAAGGCAGGCTCGTGATAGTCACAATGTATGGTCCAGTTGCTGATCATACTTCTGATCACTCGGTTGGGCCGCTGCAGACTGGACGCTGCCATGTCACTGCCACAGTCATGGCATGTGCTGTTGTTGCTGAGCCATTTGCAAATGCATGCGCTACAAAATAATGTTTCACAGCACGGTGCGTACACGGCTCCATCCACCGCCATTTCACAAATTGTACAGGCCACAATGGCATTGGTGTCGACAAATCGTTGCTTGTTGAGTGTGTTTCCTGCCTGGTATGAGGGTGTTGCATGTCTAACTATTTCTTCTTTTACGTCCATGCTCATCTTGCTGAATGTTGATTTTGGCTGTGGTGGATTGATGTTTGCTTGTACTTGTGGTGCTGCACTTTTCCACGCAGTGAGTTTTTCCTGTCGCTGCGTTGACTGCTTTGGCTTTCGGCCACGTTTTGCTGGTTTGCATAGAGCACAGCCAGTGCGATGGTGAGGCTGCCATTCATGTATGGGGCCACATCCACCCCCTGCAAAACACCCAGTGTTAGATGCTGCACTGACAGTACGATCCATAACTAATTTACAAGTGTGGCAGAAAAAAGGGGGGTGCAGGCAGGGGTCATCTTTGGATGTGTCAACGTGGAAAACGGTCAGCAGACTTCCAGAATGCTCTTTTACACAATACTTTGTTTTCACACTCCTGGCGGAGAACTTTTCTCCTCCAATACGGCAGCACAAGCTCAGAAGGCTAGCATGCTCCTCCATAATCAGGATTATAAACGCCAAAAGGACCTCGATCAAAACTGGCACGAAAAGTTTCCAGGATGCACGTCAAGTTTCGAAACTGCTTGAAACTAATAGCCAGGACAACATAGATTGAGGGAAAATTGAAGGCGAGGGTGAGAAAATTTTCTTTTTCCAGGACCGCGGGGGCGCAGTAACAGGTCCAACCAATAGCAACAAAGTGGCCAACGATCAAGATCTATCTCGTTCGCAGGCCGTTGGAATCTGAAGGAGATCGCGGAAGCTCGTTCTGAGTTTGGGAGAAGGCAGCTGCAAGCTCTGGCAAGCGAATAACTCCAAATATTTAGGGCAAGCAGGCCAGAATCGATCTGAGAACGTACCGTATGGCAACCGAAAAATTGAATAAATTGTCTAAATATCTGGCTCTGTCACGCGATCACGGTGCAAAAATTCAAAAATTCAAATTTTGTGACGCCATATTTTTTGGCCGGAGAGCGCATGCATGAAACAGCCGTGCTTACTAGTCACTAGTGACTCGAGTTGTTCGTCCACGAAATTTTCAATTATGCACTGCGGTACCAGCAAGAGTAGGTAAGTTGGCATAGAACAACAGCTATGCACAGCCATGTTCATCTCCTCTTCACTTTGGAAGGCAGTACAAGCAAGCACCCTTCATACCTCGACATTGCCTTGGAGTGGAAGCAAATTCACCATGAGTTTTCCAATTCGCTACAATCGATCTCGGGGTGATGATCGTGTCTTCTTCATCACCACTGCAGCCTGGACAGCCTTCGGGAAGACATGTGTCACTCTCCTGCTCAACAGATTCCTACATCTAGATTTGGTTACCGTTAGGGAACGAAATAGAGCTGCAAAACATCAAAGTAATTGTTTTCTTCCATTCAATTACACTGCTGAGCGCGAGCATGCACAGCATGTTGACAGCTAAGCAGTACGCACGTCATCAAGCCCAATTTCCAAATATGGAAGGTGTTATTTATGAAATTTGACACGGTTCCTCTTCTCTGATCGGCTCGAGACACAGCTCATCGGAATCAGTGCCCAATTCTCCTTCGGATAAGCCATACTTATTTTTGGCGTTCAGTTTCCCGGTAGCAGTACTGGAAAACGGGTGTCAGATTTAGCCAAAATATCAATTTCACGGGAACTGCTTCAAGTGTGATTTTTCTGAAAGAAGGAATACCAAAGGGTCTACAAATGAATTTTTTTGGCATTCGAACCAGCCAAAGCAGAGATATGGCCCTTCAAAAACTGAAAATACCCGTCAAAATTTCAAAATTGCACTGATCAGCTGATCGATGTCAATCTATTTCGAGAGGGTTTCTGTACAATATCAGCGCATCCTTGCCAATCTCGGCCTGATTCACACTATCTGTCCAGCTAAAACCAGTTTAGACTAGAGCTGGGCTGAGTGTCGCGATCGCCACATGCAGCGCCTGCCTGGCCCAAGCTAGCTGGCCTGGCTGGCCTGCACTCAACCCACGCAATTGTATTTTCAAAAATGATAAAAAAATTCTTTGTTCTCAAACTGTTTGCCAATGCGACGAGCGTTTGTCAGCGACGTTGGAGCTCTGCGCTAGAGTTTTGTGCTGGCGCTACTTGGTCAGGAGACGGGTGATGAACACAAACGAAGGTCGCTCAGCAGGCCAAGGAAAAGCAAATTTCCTAGAGTTACGTCCAAGCTCGTCTCAAATCCTGAAGTATTTGAGCCAATTGAGGGGAGTGAAAGCGAACACGAGTCGCAGGCTGATGGAGCTGGTGAGGGCGTAGAAGATGACTCTGATCTTCCAGCTGATTTTTTATCCAGTGATGCCTCGTGTGATAACGATGGAGATTAGTCTGAAGAGGATTGCGATGATATTCCATCAGGAATTCGAATTGTTCACATGGAGAGCTTACAGCAATTGGTGACGTCAGCGTGTGTATGTAGTAATTATCAAGAGGGCAACCTGACTATCAAAGATAATTTTCGTCATGGCCTCGCCTCAACAATTAGTTTGCAGTGCGAATCGTGCTGCTCATCAACCAGTGTAGCCCTGGCAGAAAGACACCCACTTGCTAAATTGTACGATATAAACCGCCGCCGCAGTGTGCTTGCCATGCGCCTTATCGGTAGTGGACGAGAAGGTCTGAACAGTATCTGTGGGATATTGGATATGCCGCCTCCTGTTAGCAATTCTGGGCACAGCGATGCACTACACACTGCTGTGGAAACTGATGCTAGGGACAGCATGAAGAGTGCTGCACAGCGTCTTCTTGTTCGGCGAACAACAGAACAGCATTCCCACCCGGAGCATGTTGCAGTTAGCACCGA